AAAATCCTGAACTAGATTTGCCCTTTAAAGACTAATATTAGAGCAAAAGGAATATATCCAGTACCTTTCTCACTAATTCCAGTTGAGCCAGTTAATCCCTATTAATCTTGGTGGGACCTTGATTGGACATGGCTACCTAACTTCTCAGTGCTTTGGTTTTCTCTTCTGAATATTGGAGAGATTAATAGTGTCTGCCTTGCGTGGCAGAAACTAGTAAATGCTCAGTAAAAGTTAGTAATCATCCCCACAGTTTATGGATGCTTCTCCCCATCTGAAATCCTTTCTTGCATTTTGTTTCCCGGAAAACTGATTTCTAGATACCCCTGGGATGCCTTTCCCGGCGACTTCTCTGTCCAGGCCTAAGATAATTCAGACACCTACTTGGGGCTGTCAGAGTTCATTCAAACCCCTCTGGGGCTCCTGGTTAGTTGTGAGCTCAGTGCATCCTCTCCTCTGAGGATTCCTAATTCCTCTCCTTCGCCCAGAAAAGGCAGCGCAGAGGTAGGGATGTTAAGCGACATACCCAAGCTCTTGCCAGTCAGAAGGAAAGCAGTATTTGGGAGAGAAGGGAATCTCCCCATCACCTGTTACCAGTGACTCATTACCTGCTGCTGCTGCTGCTAGGTCGCCTCGGCCGTGTCCGACTCTGTGCAACCCCAGAGACAGCAGCCCATTAGGCTCCCCTGTCCCTGGGATTCTCCAGGCGAGAGCACTGGAGTGGGTTGCCATTGCCTTCTCCAATGCGTGAAAGTGAAAAGTGAAAGTGAAGTCGCTCAGTCGTGTCCCGACTCTTCGAGACCCCATGGGCTGCAGCCTACCAGGCTCCTCTGTCTATGGGATTTTCCAGGCAAGAGTACTGGAGTGGGTTGCCATTGCCTTCTCCGACTCATTAACTAGTAACTAGTTAATCAGTACTTGTGCCAGGAGATTTATTTTCTTAGAGGCATGTTTCTTTTCACAGAATACTTTGAATAAAATTTAAATAAGGCTCTTGAGAACAGATTTTAAGTGATTTCATGACCATGAAAGGTAGGAACACCGAAATAATAAAAATTGTTATGATGTTAAACAGGACTTGAATACTTTAACAAGCAGACATCTATGAAGAGTTACATGACTAATTTAAGTGAACACAATCTATGTGTTCACAGGCTTGGGGAAGGAGCTCAGGACTTCAGTGCAATAAGGTCTTGAATCCTGGTGATCAGGGAAGGCTTCCTGTAGGAGGCAATATTAGTTAGAACTAGTATGTCAAGAAGTATTTGTTGAGTAGCTACTGTGTGTCAGGTCCTGGTTTAGTAGATAGGAAGGTAAGTTATTCTCAGGAAAGGTGAAAAATCACTCAGTTGTTATCCTGTGGATGAATATTTACTGTGCAGTGCCACTGGGAATATAATTATTGACATGATAGATGTATTATCAGGGAAGACAGAAAAAATATTTCTGATAGGTGAAGGTGAAATAAAGAAAATGAAAAGTGTCAAGATGGGGCTGAGATGAGCCTATCTTCCCTGGCGGGGATCAGTAAAGGTCTCTCTGAGGAGGGAAGACGTAAGCTGAAACTTAAAGGGTAAGAAGGGGCTAGGCATTTAAAAAGCGAGGCAAAAGGGAACCGTACTTGCAAAGTACTGTTCAAATCATTGAAACATTTGGTGTATTTTAATCATTTCAAGAAGACGGTGTGACTGGAACACAGCAAGCTGGAAGAAGAGTGAGAGATGAAGTTGGAGGTGCATCCAGGAACCAGACTGTGCAAGGCCTTAGGCAGGTCAGATTTGACCTTCAAGTACAAAGGGAAACCTCTGAGAGGGAGTAAGGGACACACATAACCATCTGGTAAATGGATGGGGGCAGACCGGGGTGGGCAGCGACACCAGCTAGGTGCTCCTTTCTGTGGGGAAGTGGTCATGAGCTCACAGGAAAGGTACTCAGTACAGCCGAGCGCAAGGTGCATGGGCTGGTAGGTGTGACGGGAGCCACTGAAGACCATTTTAGCCAATTTTCAAGTCCTGTTGAGTACAAAGCCAAGGCCAACTTCTGAGCAAAGAAGAGACTTTAGAGCTGGGTTTCAGAAAAAAGCCTTCTGGGGGAGGAAATCATATTTGGTTTCAGTATTTTACAAGTTGTTCCACTGGCAGATAAAGGATGAGTTAAGGCAGGGACTGGCAGCGGGAGGTGCTGGAGAAGCTGTGGAAAGAAAACGGGAGGGCAAAGGACAGATCCAACAAGGCTGTGGTTTCTTGGACGGGAGGTATTTCAGGCTCATTCAGGGTAGGGTCTCTCAAAAGGATGAGACACCTAAGACTGCAGGAATAAAGAGTGGCTGGCAGTTGTTATCAGGCCAAGGCTTGGACAAGTCACTTTAGTTTCCCCGTGGATTTGTGAGATGAGATGAAGGAGGGAGAGTGGCCAGTGGCTAGATTCATTTGTGATCTGCCCAAGCCAGGATATCTGTTATCCTGGATGGCCAGATTGTGGTGAGAGGAACTGTGTCACCCCGAGGGCTCTGCTGGTTATGGGGAAGCCAGGGGAGCCCAAGGGAAGGCAAGCTCTCCAGGATGCCAGATGAGGGGTGGTTCACGTCTGGTTTCAGTGCAGTTTCGCCGTGTTCAGACCATAACAGCCATCAAAGCGCCTGGTCATCTGCAGCAACGCTGTGCGGTCGGCAAGCAGTTGGGATTGTATCCCCAGCTAACAGGCAAGGAAACTGAGGCTCAGCGAGGCGCAGGAACCTTCTAGTGGGACGCAGCTCCCTAGTACCACCGTGCGCTTGGCAGCCTAAGCCCAAGCCTTCGCCGCACACCGACCAGCCAAGCTGAAAACGACAGCTCCCAGAATGCTACTCGGAGAGGGGCCGGAACCGGAAGTGGGGTCGGAGGCGGGGCTTGCTGAGCGCCGCTTCCGCCGCGGGAGGAGACTGGGTCAGGTACGCAGAGGGTTTGTTGGCGTGAGGGGTCGGGGGCGAGGGTCCGGCCTCGGGCTGCCGCGTCGTCTGACCGTGTGGCAGGAGCCTGGGAAGCAGGCGCTCGCCCTGCAGTTGTGTGGCCCCAAGCTCTTGACGCTGTTCCTTCCTGCTTCCCGTCGCTTTCGCAGCCTGTGAGCCATACGGGGCCCATTTCGGGGCACCCTCGAGCCTGGGGCCAGCGTATCCCAGTGCTGAAGATGCCGGAGGAGGAGGGCCGGCTTCGGTAGCTGACACCTAGCACGAAAAGCCAAGAGAAGCGTTCAGAGGCTGGTCCGTCGCTGCGCGCCCAGGGATATATTCATCAGGTGGAGCACGGGTTAGAAGAGTTCTGAGGCCTCCGCCAGCTCAGAGATGGGGGTGGAGTGCAGGATGGATGTATTCAGCAAGTCTTTAGTGAGCGTCTGTGACGTACGAAGCCTGTTTCCAGGCATAGAGAATATAGCGAGAATACAAACATAACACTTAACAGGAGTGGGGACGTTCAGACCAAAAAATAAGTAAGGTGTGTGCCATGTTGGATAGGGAAGATTGGAATGTAGTGAGGAAGGTAGTAGTCATATAATTATCCAGGGGAAAAGGATTGAGGTAGAAAGAACAGCAAGTGCAAAGACCCTAAGCCGCTGTATCCTTGGTATGTTTAAGAAACAGCAACAGCAAGTAGACCAGATAGCGCAGACAACAATAGATGATCATTAACAATCAGTATAGGCTGTTGTAAGTGTTCAGGAAAATCAATTAGCAATCTATAATAGGAATAGAAGAAAGTTTTATTCTAGCCAAATTGAGGAGTGTAACATGGAGACATAAATTCAGGAAGCACTTGAAGTGTGTTCCACCAGACAACAAAGTGGGAGAACTTTATAAAGGTAAAAACTGCAAGGTTACAGTTAGTTACATGAGTTACTTATCATGAATTATAATTGGAGCTGGCAAGAAATAAGGGTGCTTATTAGTAAGGATTGGTTAAGGTGTGAAATGGTTGCATAGTTATGTAAGGAGATTTTGAGACTGTAAGATTGAAGCTGACTGGTATTACTCTGAATATGACTGATAGTGTCCTTGGGGGTCTGGTACAGTTCAAAAAAAGTTCAAGTTCTCAGTGGTGCAGAGACTTGTCTGAGACCAGATCTTCAATGGCCACCCAATTCCATTTTTGTTTGCCTGAACTCTTACTCCATTTTAACTTCAATGGATCATTACAGAGATTTACTTTTTCAAAGACACACATTTCCTGCTATGTTGATAGCACACTGGACCCAGAGGAGTAGCCGTGAGCAATGGTTCTTAGTCTACAGCTTGGCTGTAGACTAGAGTACTTCCTTTACATACCTTCCTCAGGGATTTTGAACACCACTTTGAAATTATTACACTAGTTAAGTGTGCTGTAACTGATTCTTCATATTTTTCTACCTCAGCTCTTCTGATGGATATTAACCATTTCCTCTATGACTATGACTTTCTGCTGCAGTAATATGTAAGTCAGAGGAGGGAATATGTAGATTTGAAAAATGAATTCTGATACATCACCAGCACCTTAGAATCCTTGGTTGGTTGGATTTGGACTGCTGTTTACCATAATTTTTGGCCAGCTCTAAACCTTCCAGGATGTTTCTAGCACAGGACTTTGCATAGAGTAGGTGCTTAGTAAATATTTGCTAAAAGGATGGTTTTGAAAATAAATGGAAACGTAATGGGATAGGTAGGTTTTACCATCTCTGTCTCACCCTCCACTCATAGATGGATTCCAAAGAACACAGTAAATGAACTGATGTCCCTGCAGCAGGGAATAATCATTGCTTGGAGGTGTCAGGGGCCGTGCCTGTCTTCTGAAGAGCGAATTTGGCTTCCTTCCTACTTAAAGGTTTCCGTGCTTTCATATTTCTCTAGAAGACACACAAGCTTTTCTCTGTGTTAGTATTTTACACACTTCTACTCCTTCAGTAATACTGTTTGTCGTTTGGATATGGGGAGATACTTATGCAAGTATAACAGTTCCTTCTTCTAATCTGGGTGACAAGGACAGAGGACTAAGTGCATGGACTGGAAATTGGAAGGGAGTGCTGAGCAAACAGAGTCACAGGAGCTGCAGGAGCACGAAATCACCCTCGACAGCCCGGGTGAAGATGGCGTCTCTGAGAGCTTCCAGCTTCTGCAGATTGATGTGGGATGTGAGCATTGGGAGCAAGAGGCCCTGCCCACAGGCAGTGCGGCTTGGTGCTCGGTGAGTGGAGCGAGTTGCCTGATCACGGTCTTTGAGATGATGGAATGTCCCAGGGGCCCCATTTCAAGGATAGATCCTGGTAACGAGAAGATTGGGAATGAGTTAGATGCATTCCAAGGGATGAGTTTCCTGTTACCTGGTTTAAGGTTTAATTTCATTTGGATCATAGAAGAAGTAAATTAAGTTCAAGAGGAATCTTTGTACACCTCAGAAAGGTCAGGAAATCTCAACCCTGTTTCTAATAAATTTACTGTGCCCTTGGGCATGCCACTTCTCTTTTCTGGGGTTCTGCTTTCTCTAAACACAATCTAGTCCATTTTTGTTTTTAAGACTAACACCCCTTTTCTCTCGTAACCCTATATCTAAATTTGAAAAATACATAAGTAACTATTTTCTAATATTCATTTTCCTTTCTGGTGCTTATGAAGTTCTCAAACAATTTTGTTTTCTGGATAACATAAGAAAAATGTCCAAAGAAAGCAGAGACACTGGGAAAAGATAGTTGCGGCAAAGAAGAGTAAACGAAAACAAGAAAAAGAGAGAAGAAAAGCCAAGCGTGTAGAAAATTCAGGTAGCAGTAAATTAGATTGTTGGTGCAACTATTAGTATATTTATATCTTAGCAAACTGGTATCTGCTTGTTCCTGGAAGAGTGGGGATATTGTTTTTAAGTAAAAACGTCTGGGAGATATGACCTATTGTTCTGTTTTGTCGGGAATCAGAGTATCGAAGAAAGCAAAATTTGAGACTACCTTTCAGGTATAAGCGGCCTAGTGCATATATGTGTTTATAAGCTCAGAAGTAGAAGGAATGATACTAACAACAGCTAATGTTTATTCAGGGCTGTGTGCTAGGTTCATTGCTAAAAATTTTACCTGGTTTACCATAAGGGGTAAGAACTTTTATTGTCCTCATTTTCTTGGCAAAGAGACTGAGGTTCAAAGCAGTTAAATAACATGCCCAAGATCACATAGGTAATAAATGACCAAACTGAACTCTGACTTAGATTCAGCAGTGTGTTCAGAGCACTGCTTCACTGTTCCGCTTTACCTATACTGCCTAATGAATGAATACCTTGTGTGAGCTTCCAGTTTCTCTTCCTATGCAAAAAGTATTCACCTGGCTGGGGAGGTCTAGTGCTTACTGAGTAATATTTTTCTGCTTTTCCACTTTGATTCCTCTCTGATATTTCTGTCCCAGGCATCTACCCCCAGCACAGCAAACGTTTCCTGAGATCCCTAATCAAGGAAAGACTTTTGGAAGCCAAGCACTCAGGCCCAAGACTCTGTATCGACTTGAGTATGACCAGCCACATGTCTAAGAAGGTAAGGCATGCACTGAACTCTTGAGTGTCTTCTCACGTGGAGAGGCTCGGGCGGGAGCAGCTTTTACGCAGAGCGTGACCAGCTCCAGCCTCTAGGATTCTCTAGTAGTCCAGTACATGTGCTTAGGTTGCTACACATGGCTGCTAAGTTCCCAGAGGGCTATTGTAAATAGGAAGGGAGTAGACATCCTCTGCTTTAGTTTGGGGTTTTTTACCTTATATTCTGTTTTAAGCCCGGCACATTTGCCGCTGTGTTCACGGTGTCCCAGGTCTAGAAGCAGCCTTTCGGGTGTAATTCTCCAGAGAGAGCTTTGGCTTTCTGCTAGGGAGAGGAACGTGTGCCTGGTTGCATGTTGCGGGGAGATGACCTAGTGGGAGGTCTTCCTACACTGTAGGTGTTTTGTAAGCCCTGTTGGTGAAGGATGGCTTTTCACCCAAGGATTCTGGGGGTGGCTGAACACACAACACTCCACACCAGACAGATAAGATTGATAACAGTTTATTGATCACATGTACTTATCTGGAAAGGAGCTTGACACTGCACACCATTCATGTGTGTGTGCACACATGATGTGCACACCATTCATGACACTGCACACCACATGGGATTGCGTGCGGGAATAGAATAAACAGCCGGGGGCCATAGAGGGCAGACTTTATAGGTTTCTGCAGGAGGATTGATTGGTTTGTTGGAATAATGCCGTGGGCTGGCAGGAGCATTGAAACCCATTAAAATGCCCTGGAGGAGGCCATGGCGACCCACTACAGTATTCTTGCCTGGAGAATCCCATGGACAGAGGAGCCTGGGGACACAGTCCATGGGGTCGCAACTAGTCAGAAATGACAGAAGCGACTTAGCACACACGCATGCATTCAGGGATAAGGAGGAACCCTGTATCAGAGGAATCCCTGTCATAAAAAAGAGTTGTTTGGCTTGTGCACCTTATCAGTGGCAGCAGAATTTGGAGAACTTGCAGCTAGGCCCTTCAGAGCCCTCTCATTTTCACCAGGTAACAAGGTGGCACACAATATTGGACCTTGATTTGAGGCCTTATACCATAAAACACGTCTTTGTTTCCCATCGTCCCTGTTGTACGTGCTAGTGTCTGCATGTTTTTTAGAGAAATTACGATCTGAGATTCTTCCAGGAAACCTCTAACTATAGCCCACTGGAAAAGGTCAACCAAGAATTTTCTACTGTTTGTTTTCATTGAGATATCAGATTAAATCAAAGCCTAAGGTATTTTTTGTGTGTTTTTATTTTTTTCCTGTACTGAACCAAGTCAGACCAGATTGTGAAATGACCTTTCTTAAAGGGTTGTGTCTCTGAATCGGGATGGAAAGTTAAAAATTCCAAACCTATGACATTTCCTGGAGTTAGGGAGAATGTGCCGAGTTTACCTGATGGAGTATAAAAATGCCTATACAGTAATCTAACCTCTTTTTAATAAATAGTAAACATCACATGGTAAGCTTTTTGATAAAAGCTAACAGAGAAACAGAGTTACAAATGTAGAAAAGAAACTTACGGTTACCACGGGGTGAAGGGAGGGGCAAGGATAAATTGGGAGATAGGAACTGACATATCCACACTACTGTGTATAAAATAGACACATGATAAGGACCTGCTGCATAGCACAGGGAGCTCCGCTCAGCGCCTTGTGATGGCCTGTGTGGGCAGATAGTCTGAAAATGAGTGGGTTTATGCACAGATGATTCACTTTGCTGTGCACCTGAGACTTAATACAGCATTGGACGTCAGCTATGCTTCAATCGTTTTTTAAAAAGTTAAAAGAAATATATAGATACTTGTATACATGTATGTTTTAGCCAGTCCAGAAGGAGGGAGACGTCTTAGTTTTTTCACTAACTGATTATTTCTGGGCTGGTACCATTACCTGAACTTTCATCTATAAGGTGTGATGCCATGGGATGTAACACAAGTGCATACATACATGTACGCACTTGTGGAGTCAAAGGGGCCATTGTATTTCATGAGCTTTCCCAGAGTCATGTTCAGTGAACTTACTCAGTAACCATTTGTTGAGAATGAATTTAGAAAGAGTGGGCATGTCACTACCTTAAGGTATCCTGGCTTCTTTGAAGGAGTTAAGTAGACTGGCTGGACAGATCCGAAGGTTGTACGGCTCCAATAAAAAAGCTGAAAGGCCATTTTGGATCTGCCTCACTGGCTTCACCACAGACAGCCCTCTGTATGAAGAGTGTCTGAGGATGAATGATGGATTTTCCAGTTATCTGGTAAGCCTTATTTTGCATATTATTTGAATTGTCATTTGAAAAGTAGGTTGGAGGGGATAATAGTAAGTTCTTTTACTTTTTCATATTTTGATGTAAAAAAATTTTTATATAATTTATATATTTTCACTATTACAGTCTTAAAAAATTTAGAACCTCTAATCAGTTCTTACATTTAAAAATTTTCATCCTTCCCACTGCATTGGAAGACAGTATTACCAGTATCTAGGGCTGTATTTTGTGTCTAGTGTATTTTACACTAGACTGTGCATTACAGGAATGTTTTAGGGAAATGCTATGACTCCGTGTTCTTAAAGTGCAGAATTTGGAAACATGAGTTTTGGGGGGAAGAGAGAATCCTTATGGAAGTAATATGGATTTAAGGTGAGTTTTAGGGAGTATTAAGTGTTACTTTCAGTACTTTCCTTAGGATCTCTTAAATGTAGAGATTGATATGCAGGCAGGAATCCAGATGAGTGCCTAAGAAGTGACCCTGAAAGTGCCCTTGTGTTCGCATCATGTAGCTGAGACTCAGTGTGACCTTTCCCAGGGAGGTCCTCAGAGGCCCCAAGTGTGAAAAGTGCCGTTTGTGTTGCTGCCCGTGGTGCTGTTACCTTAATGTCCCTCCTGTAATGCAGCCATTCCCAGCCTTATTTCTCTGTACGTGTTTTGTGATTCCTGCATATGAGCCAAACAGACCCACTCGAGGGCCCGTGTAGTGCAGTCCTCTTGCTGCCCTGTCTTCATGCTTTTCTTAGGTAATTCCCTCCGGTTTGAATACTTTTTCCTTCTGTGTGTGTCGGTCTCCCTGCTTTTCAGAAACCCAGCTCCAGCATCCCCTTCCCGGCAAGGCTGTTCCTGGTGCTGTCACTCTGTCTGCAGTCCCAGGCCTGCCCCTGTGTGTCTGGCAGGGCCTCATTACCGCTCTGTCTCATTTTGTAAGGTTGACTGTCTGTGCCCTTCTACTTCTGCGCCCCACCTGAGCCCTTTCTGAGAATAGGCTGTGAGACATGGATCCCCTTGATGCACCTGGAGCCAGGCCTGATAGAAACCACTGCATGCCCCATAAGGAACTGGGTGCTGCAGTGTGGGCGTGTCTTAACCTAGTAACACTGCTTTGGATTGTTTACATTTTTCAGCTAGACATAACAGAAGAAGACTGCTTTAGTTTATTTCCCCTGGAAACCCTTGTGTACCTGACTCCTGACTCAGAACATGGTATGTTCTTTATGCATTCATTGCTTCTAGCCCTTTATTTCGTTATTCCTGGTGTCAGAATTTGTTAAAGCCAGTCGTGGTGTATCCAGGGTAAAAAAGGAATGAACATTAATTGCACACCTCTTACGGATAGAGACCTCTCTGGATGCATTGTATTTGTCATGCCACATGTGCATGGCTGCGCAGATTTAGTGTCTCCATCCTCAGCTGGGCCTTGTGAGCTACTTGGTAATCCTCCTGAGTTTTCCTGGTCATCTCCTTGCATTGACTCTTTTTGGATCAATGTTAGATAAATATTTTTTTCCCCGAAAATTATCTATTTCACATAATTTTTAGTTTTATTAACTTGATCTCAGTAGTTGTCTTCTAATTATTTTGTATTTCTCTGAAATTTTGCCTCCTTTCTGAATCCTAATGGTGATTTGAGTCTGCCTCTGATTAGATATGCCAGTGGTTTAATCTATTTAATTGAACTTTCCAGGGAATTAGCAAATCTACTATCTTTTCATTTCCTATTTCATTAAATTTCTACTTTTTAGCATTAATAATTCTTTCCTTTTATAGTCTTTGGATTTAGAAATTATAAAACAGATTGATCTTAATGGCCTTTATTTTTTCATTAGCTCTTGCAAATGTTGATGTAGACAAAGTTTACATCCTTGGTGGACTTGTGGATGAAAGCATTCAGAAGGTAAGTGTACATTTTAGGCCTGATAACTGCATTTTGAAAAGTGAAGCTTTCTTTTAGAGGCACCTGCCCTGTCGTAATCTCACCCAACAGGCATAAAGATCCAGAAGGAGTTGGAGGAAAGAGCCTCCTCTGCCTCGGTTGGCCCTCCTACTTTTTGCCAAGTTCCCTCTCTTCTCATCACCAATGTCAGCAATCCTGATACCTGACAGAATCCAGTCAGGGTCTAGAGTGGGGAATATTTGGTAATTACATAAATAGCCATTACTGAATTCCTTTCTTCTCCTCTTGTCTTCAGTTCTGTAGGGATCACTCTGATCTTGACCAAGGAGCTTTTTTTTTAAATGGTTGGCTGTACTGGATCTTAATTATGGCGCATGAGACCTTCAGTTGTGGCATGTGAGATCTGGTTCCCTGACCAGGGCTCACACCCAGGCCCCCTGCACTGGGAGCCAGGAGCCTTAACCACTGGACTGCCAGGGAAGTTCCTACCAGGGAGGCTTTCAGCATTCTTACCAGCTATTTGTTCTTTGTTGAAAGAGTAGTTTGTTCCTTCTTAGGTCATGTTCCCTGTTGACAGTTGTCTTACCCATAATCTCAACCGCAATAGAATTGTCCAGGTTTCTTTTGTTGAATTTGAATTTTATGAGAATAATTGGAGTTTTGAAACACACTTCTATTATACAAGTATTTGTTGAGATAACTTTTTATGCTTAATAATTAGCATATTCTGTAGATGTAAATGATGATATAATGGTTAAAATGCATAAAAAGGATCACAGTGAAAAATAAGTCTATCTCTCATCTCTGTCACCCAGTGTCTGCGTGTGAGGTAGCCATGGTTTTCTTGTGTATCTCTTGATATATTCTGTGACCACACAAGTATGTGTTTATGGGTTTTGGGGCATATTAAATGAATATATTTTTTCATATATGAGTATTTTTTCATATGTATGTGAGATACATACACATATTTAACACAAAGGATATTTAACTGTATTGCATTTATTCTAAAAAAAGTCAAGTGTTCCATGACTCCATAATGATAGTCTTAAAATATGGGCAGGAGGTAGGGGTAGGGGAGGGCTGTAAAGAAGTCAGCTAATAAAAAAAATAAATAAAAAGTCAGCTAATAAATGAGAAACAAATAACAGAATTGAAAAATCATCATTTTGTCACTCCCAGTGTAATCACTGATTCAGGGAATTGACTGAAAGAAAGGTTGTGAGGGAACTAACTATTCATGTGGTCTCAACAGCCCACAGATTAGAAAGGCAAAAGTGTACCCTTACAATGAAGTGATCTGGAGTTCACCATCCTAACAAATGATCAAACAGAATCACCAGTGGTGACATGTACCTCCTTATGATGGAATCTCACCTGGAAACTGTTTAAACTGAATTTAATCATCAACAGATCTAGGATGTGAGACATTCTGTAAGACAGCTGGACCAGACTTTGAAAGAAGTCAGTGTAGTGAAAACTATATGGCTACGGGGGCTATTTTAGATTAAAAAGACATAACAGCCAAATGCAGTCTCCCACAGCAGAGTGACAGCCCCTTTTTTGAAGCAGACAGTTCTAGAGGGCCAGTGAGCAGTGTGTAATATATAGATGCACAAATGTAACACACTGTCCTCTTTATTTTCCACCAACATTTAACATGAAAAATAGCTGGCACAAAGATTTGTCAAAGGTATAGAACTTTTTGGTTGCTACTTAAGAGTTTGGCTTCTTCACTGCTGCTGCTGCTGCTAAGTCGCTTCAGTTGTGTCTGACTCTGTGACCTCATAGACGCAGCCCACCAGGCTCCTCTGTCCCTGGGATTCCCCAGGCAAGAATACTGGAGTGGGTTGCCATTTCCTTGTCCAATGCATGCATGCATGCTAGTAAGTCACTTCAGTTGTGTCCCACTCTGCGACCCTATGGACAGCAGCCCACCAGGCTCCTCCGTCAACAGGATTCTCTAGGCAGGAATACTGGAGTGGGTTGCCATTTCCTTCTTCACAGAAATATGCTAAGAACAACATCTATTCAAGGGGAATCATTTTATCTTTAAATGTGCAGAGAACAGAAACTAGACTATAAACTCCTTCAGGGCAGCATCCAAGTCTCCTACCATGTACTCCAGTTCAAAGTGATTACAAAATAATGGAGTAGACTTTAATAACCATAGCTCATATATGCAAGAGGTGGTTAACTTTCAAAGAAGTCCTTTGAGTAGCTGTACCTTTATTCCATCTGAATTGCATCACTTAAAACATTTTTGGAAGGTCTTTCTTGGAATCGTGTTTCATGTGAGTCTGAGATGCTGGTAGTCCAGTGTCAGAAGAAGGAAGGTGCTAGGCCTGCTCTATGCTGTTTCAGTTCTTTAGACCACATTCACAGTGGTCAGTCAATATGGGATGGTAAATGAAAAGACATTGACAAACTAGAACAAACTCAGAAGAGGTTGACCTGAATAATGAAGGGACTCAAAACTAAATCATGGTCAAGGAAAAATTGACAGAACTGAGACTGTCAGCCTGGAGATGAGAGGATTCACAGGGCATGATCCCTGCCTTTAAGTATCTGAATGGTCATCCTGTGGAAGGGCCATTTTACTTGCCTGGTATGGCTCTGGAGGAAAAGAACTAGAACAAATGACCACAAGTCTCAGAGGAAATAGAAAATGTTCCTCAATATCAAGATTCCCTACTAACTGCTACTATCAGAATTGGAATGGGTTACCCCAGGATGCATGAACTCCCTCTCCCAAGGGTTGTCCATTTAAAGCCAGAGGCCACCAGGCAATGAGGTCATAGAGGACAGACAAACATTGAGTGGGTGGTTGAAGTGGAATAGTTGACTGTCGAGGTCCCTTTCTAACCTGAGTATGCTAATTTTCTCAGTAATATAAAACTTTAATCCTGAGATTCCAAATGCGTAGATGACTTTCCTAGATCTTAAAAGGTAGTAAGTATAATTTAAACTTCAGTCCATGACTCAGGGACATCCCTTAAGGGACATTAATAACTGTACTCCGCTGCTAAATGGCCTCAGTACTCTGAAGGTAAATGACCTTGGATTGTTGGATTTTTTGAGTTTTGTCTCCTTTTTGTAGTTTTCAGAACCTTGCCTTTTCATTGGGCTGTATGTTCTCATACCTTAATGCTCTCTTGTTACTAGTGGTGTACTTAACTCGAATCCCGTCTCCTTATTTATAATTTGCTGCTACCAGTTGGCGATGGCTGAGAACTCCCGATATCCAGAATTGGAGCTTACTGAGTTCGGGCTAGCAGTGTTCTCTGGTTGATTAGACTGCTTGGATTTTTGGATGCAGGTTGTGGCTGCAGATATGCCTCTTTTTACTTCCTTCCTTCTTGGTTGTATTGATATGTAGCAGCAAGTAGAAGCTAGCAGATAAGTGGCTTCCAAATAAGTGAGTTATTGCTGCATAAGCCATTTCTTACTTGCCAGAAATAAATACTCTTCATCATCTGCAGTTTCTTCCTATTTTTTAAATACACTTATCATTTAATTATGATTACAGATGTAAATGATAAATGAGGATTCTGACAATTTGCTCTGCTGCATATTACATTGAGAATAACTTCATGTATTATTTTTATAAGAAAAATGTGTGTGATTTACAGAAGGTGACACTTCAGAAGGCCCGAGAACACTCTGTTAAGACTGCCCGCTTACCAATCCAGGAATATATGGTCAAATGCCAGAATGGGAAAAACTATCATTCAGAGATACTGACCATCAATCAAGGTACTTCTCACATGGCCCGCGCTTAACATGTTAGTCGTGCTCCTGTTTCTGTGCATTGTGTTAAAGTACAAATGGCCCTTGAAGCAGCCTCCCCTGTGACTGATGTGCTTGGACTTTATTGTATGCGCTTTGTGACACGTATCCTGGGTTTTGCATTTTCTTCCTTATTCACAACTGTGTTAAAGATGGTGGAAGTTGTTCCTTTGTCCTAGTATGCCATGCCTTCAGCCTGTCACTGAACAGTGAATTCCTGTTTGTCCTTCATGATTCCATTCATGGGCATCTTGGTGGCTCCCTTCCCCTTCCGGGCCTGTCAGGCCCCTCTGTTGTGTTCCCGTTGTACTGTGTTCCTCTCTGCTGCAGCATTGTCCATTCACAGGCCTGTATCTCTCAGTGCAGGCCGAGATCCTTGTAGGGAAGCAGGGCCTTTGTCTTTGCCCGTCTCCCCAGAACCTGGTACCATATGTGGTGGAGTAGACTTGTTGATTGAAATATTCCAGAACACGGTATTCCTTGTTGCTGCTGCTAAGTCACTTCAGTCGTGTCCGACTCTGTGTGACCCCATAGATGGCAGCCCACCAGGCTCCCCCATCCCTGGGATTCTCCAGGCAAGAACACTGGAGCAGGTTGCCATTTCCTTCTCCATGAAAGTGAAGTCGCTCAGTCGTGTCCGACTCTTAGCGACCCCATGGACTGCAGCCTACCAGGCTGCTCCGTCCATAGGATTTTCCAGGCAAGAGTACTGGAGTGGGGTGCCATTGCTTTCTCCGTTTTTCCTTGTTAGTCATATACTAATTCTCTTCTCTCTGTGTGGTCCGTTTGTTTTCCCTTTACCCTTCTAACAGTGTTTGATATCCTGTCTACTTACTTTGAGACTCAAAACTGGCCTGAAGCATTGAAGAAAGGAGTTTCTTCCAGAAAAGGCTATGTTCTTCAGAACTCAGTGGAATGATGGAGAGCCTAAGGAGGCAGTTGCAGGAGGTGAAGTCGCTGGAGTTGTCTTGACCAAAGAGCAGAGCAGAGAATGGTGGTGGTACTCATTTGCCTCTACTTGGCATTTTGGCTCTTCACTGGGATGAAGAAAGAGCAGAGAACTGTGGTGGTACTCATTTGCCTCTACTTGGCATCTTCGCTCTTCACTGGGATGAAGAAGGACCACATTTTATGCTCTTTTGTATCTCCCATAGTGCCTGTCTCAAAGGAAGTGCCCAGATACATGTGGACTAACTAGAAAGTTTACATTACAATGAATTAGCCCTAAGACTACATGGCTTTGGATGTGTTTATTCATCTTTTTATTTATTTTTTATTCATCTTCTGTACATCTATTTGTGAAGTACCTACTCATAAGAGTAGCTTAAATAAGTATTGTTCTATCAAGAGTTAAATTTTCACTGCACAGGCATCAAAAGCTGCATGACTTTGTCCAGCCATCTCAAACATGCTGATTTTCCCCAGCTCAGTGATACGCTCTACAGACTTTGCAGGGTCAGCCTGTCCTAACAGTCCTGCTTTAAGCCCCCATAGCATTTGCTCCATCTGTGGCTCCTACTGTGTCTCCCCTATTCTGAGTATGGGCAATGAGTATTTCTCTCTTCCTATTGGTAGCCTTGTAACAATTTGTGGCAGTATCTTTGTATCCTCATGAGCTTTGTACCAACTAGATTCTTCATATATACTTGTGATTAACAGGTCAAATTGAAAAGCACACAGTATTGATGTCTAACTTGAAGAGAGAAAATACATTGTATCTGACACAAGTATGTTGGGTGACCTAAATCTCAGTGATCCCTTTTTTTCATGTCCTAGTCAGGTAGAGTTGCTTCAGTTACTCTAGCCAGTTTGGGTTAGTAAACTTGATAATTTAGCTGCTAGCAAGTTCAGAAAATGTATTCTGTATCTCAGCAGAACCAAAAGGTTACTTTTCTGCTCTGTCCCCTCTCCACAGTTTAAGTTCCTCAAGAGCTGTGAACACTTGATACATTTTATCAGTGTCTTTTTACTACTTACAAATGGCCGGGTCTTCAGGAAACATCTTTAGGAATACATAATGCTCCTTGGTCTTTATCAACCTACTGAATGTGTTCTATAATCTCTGTCATACAGAAGGCCAATGGATAGGCTTCAGGGGTCTGTAACTCTTACCATATATGGATACATTCTCAGGGAGGTCTCTTAAGAACCACTGACCTGGATCATCTGTCAGGCTTCATTTTCACCTCTAAAGGCTTTGCTTAAAATACAAATTTCCTCTCCAAATCCATCACAAACCTCTACTGTTTTTTTCAAAACCAACAGGTAGTTTTTTGTTTGGCTTCCCAGAAATGATTTTAACAAAGTAAGATCTGGCTAGACTTGGAATCAGAGACCTTCATCATAGTGTTATCTATAGAACAACAAAAACTACACCTATCTAAATATCCTAGAACATGAAAATGAAATATTATACAATTGTTGAATTTTTAATAGCAAGCACAAAATATATTACGTTGTTTGAAGTGGACAAGGTATATAATAAAGTGATATATAAAGTATAATCCTGTAGTTCCAATTTGAAAAACATACATTCACATATAGTTGAGAATGTAGGCCAAGTTAATCCATGCCTCAGTTTCTTCAACTAGAAAGTTAAATGTCTGTGGAGTTACTAAGAATAAGTGAATCAATCCATGCAAAACACTTGGAACCAATAACTGTTAGCTGCTACATACCCACTAACTATGGGATTACAGGTGGTTTTTGTTTGCTTTATATTTTTTTATGTATTCTGCATTTTCTTTGGTGAACATATTTTACTATCAGAAAATAATTTTATCTTAATGCTCACTCCCACTTACAGAAGCTACACTCTCGCAAAGTAAGGGAGTTAACGTCAATTAAACTGTAACAGTAACTTTAGTAAATGTTATTGTCAAAATCAAAAACCTACATCATGGCTTCATGATTTTTCTCACCCATAAGAATCTAGGTGGCAACCAGTAACTTTTTTATAAAAATATTTTATTTACGACTGTAATAGACAACATGTACCTTCACATCTAGTTTCCTGAAGATTTACTGGGGAATTCACCTGAGAAACATCTTTCCCAGGAAAACCTGTTTCGGTTCTGCTGACCCATAAAAAAGCCCACATAGGTCTTCAGCTCTCTGCCAATCTAGAGAAGATTTGTTTTCTTTGATCTGTTGTCATGTGTTCACAAGCTTCTAAAATGTTTGCCAAAATCAGAGTCTGCTGAATGGTTTTTGCCTTAACCCATATTCTTCCATTCATTCCAAATACTATCTCCATGGGGTAGAGTTTTCCCACTTCTTGTAGGATTTCGCAGTCTGGAGCTAACAGCCTGGTGAAGAAGGGAAACAAAACAAAACTTTATAAAGTGGCAGTGTGTGCCCTGACTTTACTTCAGGGGACTCCTTTTCTGGGCAGTTCTCCACAGTCACTCAGAATTCTATCAACATCATCGCAACAAGGCACATGAAAACATTTGCTCCCCTTTTTCTTCCAAGAAGCTTTATAACCTATAAGTACACCAGAGGTCACAATGGTGGGCTATCCTCTACAAAGAAACCAAACCCTATGCCACCAACTTTATATATATAAAAATATATAAAGTTCTTCCTTCACATTGTCAGAGCACCTTAATTCTAGACTTTAGAACTGTAGCTTTTTTATTGTTTCCGGTGCTAAAGGAACACTTTAACCTGTTTTCCTGACCATGTAAATCATTCTTTGGTATTAAATTCAATACTTGGAGAAGAGTGTTGACTCTTTCAAACCACAAAATGCTGCTTGGTTAATAACATGCTTCTTTAAATGTCTTGAACTAATTCTGCAAATCTGCAAAATAAGTAGCAGAGAGAGATATACAAGATAGCTGTGAACCTCAGTAGCTTTAGGAGTAAAGCCCTTTAACAGGGCATAGCTTTGGGTAGGTAAAGATCTAAACCTAACAAAGAGAATCTGCCTTTGGGAACTATTAAAAGGACAGTAAAGCAGGAGCCTTTTGTGAATGTCTGCATAAGTCTGAGGGTCACATCACTCTAGCTTAATTTGGCTCCCATTATAATAGAAATATGATTTTGTACAATAATAAATTGGATCTTATTTAGAAGGGGGAAGGCCAGTTTTCACATTTGGTCTGAATATATATAAGGAACAACTGACCTACCAGCAGAGAAGTCCAGATTTCATATCAACACAAACTATAATGACAAATATGTCTGAATTTTATGTATTCACATTGAGAGGATGGGGGCTAAATGCAAGAGTTAACAACTATGCTAAAATGGATACTGATTTTTAACTTTGAGGAGATACAGCCATTGTTATAGCCAAAGATTAGTCAGCTTTCTAAGAAGGTATAATATAAAAGACAATAGGCAAGCTGGAAAGCATCATACTTACTTTCTAATTAAGCCCAAAGTCACTTTAAAAAGCAGACCATCCTGTCCAATCACACCCATTCCATTGGCTCGTCCACAGCTGTCAATACAGACCATCTCTGGTTCCATATCTTTATTAGCAACCACAAATTGGCCATAGATGAGATCTCCAACCTACAATGATAATTAAAAAGCATCATTTCCTCTCAGCAAACCATGCTATAGGTGCTGCTATTGGCTCTTTTCAACAGGCATCAATGCCACTCATCTACAATTCTGTGGCTAAACAGACTACACTCCAGGATTCTCACAGTCCCGCTGGAGTTGGGTCTTAAGGCAGAATTAAAGCATGTACCCTCACCCTTCCCGCACCAGAAAATCCCCAGATCGGGAGCCTCATCAAAGCCAGAGAATACCCACTGGAGTTACACTGTAGACTACAGTAGCCACTACTCACGTGCAGTTATTTAAACTGACATTTAAATTAATTAAAACGATGTACTTAAAATTCAGCTTTTCAGTTGCATCAGCCACATTGCAAATGCTCATCAGCCACGTGCGACTTAGTGGCTCCCACAACACTCAGTGCACGTGTAAAACACTAGCGTCACCGTGAAGTTTTACCGCACAGCCCCGCTTTAGGGAATTACAGAAGAAATCCCTGGCATGCAAATTACTCAAAGCAAAACAGAACACTGGTAATCCACTGACTGTTCGCCATACAAGAACTACTTTAAAAACCTCAAGAGCTGAACTTCAAAATGACGAAAACTATGGAAATGGAGAGTAAACTTGTTCATTAAGTACCAACAGCTGTTGGTGACTCAAGGAACTGGAGAAAGAACATTCTCTGCCTTTTAGTTTCAGAGGGCAGTGGGGATATATATGTAAACAAACTTCATTCACAGCTGAATCCAGTAAGTAAGAAAAACGACTGAAAATCAGGGATGTTTTTACAGGGGGGTAGTGGTGCTCAGCCTGGGTCTTGAAAGACCAGAATGTGTTCCACAGGTTGAGAAGAGGATAAAGCAATCCAGACAGAGGGAACAGCATAAACAAAGGTAGAGGAGCGGGAAGTTATGAATTCAGTGGTGCTCTTAAATAGTTCAGTGTAATTCAGGCAGGGCCACATGGAGATGTAATTATGGATGAGGGAAGACCTCTGGAAATAGTAATATGTAGGCTTTGAAGAACTTTTTCTTTTGAAGAAAAGGGGATGAGAGGCTGTCAGCTCTTAAAAGCCTGGATAAAGGGGCAGAAGTGTACAGGCAGGATGCTACTAAGGAGGTCACTGACTTAAGTCCAGTCAAGAGACAGCCAAGGCCTGAACTTGCAAAGTGGAGATAAAGGGGTGGACACGTGGCAAATCAGTGAGACTTGACACGAGGGATGAGTGAGAAAAGGCAAAGAAACCTCCAAATTTCTGGCTTGCACGGACAGGAAGTGTGTGGCCCTCCTACCTGAAAAACCCAAGTTGAAACCGAGGAAACCAGATCTGAAAGAGACACGTGTACCCCAATGTTCATCGCAGCACTGTTTATAATAGCCAGGACATGGAAGCAACCTAGATGCCCCTCAGCAGACGAATGGATGAGGAAGCTGTGGTACATATACACCATGGAATATTACTCAGCCATTAAAAAGAATTCATTTGAATCAGTTCTAATGAGATGGATGAAACTGGAGCCCATTATACAGAGCGAAGTAAGCCAGAAAGATAAAGACCATTACAGTATACTAACACATATATATGGAATTTAGAAAGATGGTAACGATAACCCTATGTGCAAAACAGAAAAAGAGACTCCTATGTATAGAACAGACTTGTGGACTCTGGGAGAAGGCGAGGGTGGGATGTTTCAAGAGAACAGCATTGAAACACGTATATTATCTAGGGTGAAACAGATCACCAGCCCAGGTTGGGTGCATGAGACAAGTGCTCGGGCCTGGTGCACTGGGAAGACCCAGAGGGATTGGGTGGAGAGGGAGGTGGGAGGGGGGACCGGGATGGGGAATACATGTAAAAAAAAAAAAAAAAAAAGACACACTATGGTTGTGATTAAAAAAAATAAATAAATAAAAAGATGATAACCAAAAAAAAAAAAAAGAAACTTGAAGTAGCAAGACTGCTCCTCTGTCAGCTCCAAAATGGGATTGTTGGGAAAACAGTGATGTAACTGAGATACAAGTCCCAGGACCCACATCCAGGAAAGATGGATGAGTGATATGGTGATTTCCACCACTGTTCCCTCCTTCCTCCCTAAGCCTCTGGCTTACTTCTTTGTCCAGTGTATATGGATGTAACAAATAACATATATATATATATAATCTTTCAATTCAGCAGAGATAAAAACATCCCCCAACATAGCAAATGTAAACTAAGTATGTGGCTCTGGTCCCAGAGGTGGAGCATCTGAAAGAACTCTTGAAGCCTGGAGTGATTACAAAGATGCTCCAAGATCATCCAATAGCGCTAGGAAAATAGGACAGTTCCGGTAGCCTTCTGGATGGATGACTGTTTGGGAAATGGATATTTGTTACTTTTGAAACCAAAGGTCCTATTTTACCTGCACATTAGGTCTGTTTCTTTTAGTTGCACCTTCAAATGCCAAGTAAGACAGAGAAGCTGGCTCACTCCCTCCAACATCAACTTTGAATATGTCTCCAGACTTAGCTGTCACTATGCCAATCACATGGTCTCCTTTCACTGGGACATACTACAAAAGAAAGAATGAGAGAACAACCATAAATGACAATCATTTTTAAAACATCTTCAGCAAGTCCTCAGCGGTTGTTATGTTTGTCATTTAAATATTTAGAAAATATTTTAAAATCCATGTTTACAAATTAACACAAAACTTACAACAAACCTGATCATATGTCACACTCGCTAAAAGAAAACCAATCACATGATAAAACTCTCAGATTTCCAGCTTTTAAACCAATAACATGATAAAACTCTCAGATTTCCAGCTTCTAACAGTGTTCACTTAAGTCTGTATCATCTTATCTCTGGAGAAGGCAATGGCACCCCACTCCAGTCCTCTTGCCTGGAGAATCCCAGGGATGGGGGAGCCTGGTGGGCTGCCATCTATGGGGTCGCATAGAGTCGGACACGACAGAAGCGACTTAGCAGCAGCAGCATCTTATCTCTTCTTTATTATTATCAGAAACTCCCTAGCTTTTGTTTGCAAGAGTCCAGTGATACTGGGGTCCTCACAATCAAGCAAGGCCATTCTGTTGCTAGTTTCTTCCTATGTGAAATGTCTTATTTATTCTAAGAGAACCTGAACTCCCTGTGACATCCATTCATTGAACTTGATTCTTTGGAACTCCGAAAGGCAAGTCTACTGCTCCCTGACCTATGGGGTTTTGAAGACAATGACCACGGCTCTCAGTCTCTATCCCCTTATGTGCCCTTATATTCCCAGGCTCCATTCTCTCCTGGTCGCCCGTCTAGGGCCACGTTCCAGCTGTTCACGGTGCCCCTAAAGGAGTTGTAGAAGTTAAGTACAAGCCTCCGGTGGCGTTTGGCTAGCCTTATCAGAGGAAGGCTCCAGGGCCCCTTCCATGCTTCCGAAGAGTATCCTCAGCCTTCTCCCGGCCTGACAACCCCTCCGGAATCCCAGCTCACCCGCTTCTGCTGCGAGTCCACCCAGTAAACGCCACCGCCGCTGCCACTGCCGGGTTCCTTGTGACGGAGCCGGCCGCACTTGGTGACCAGCAGTCGGTCGCCGCAGCGCCGCAAGCCAGGGCCGCACACCACGCGTCCCCGGGAGCGCGCTGCAGCGTTTAGGCGCAGTGGTCGCTCCCCTGCACCTCCTGGGCCTTCTCCGTCCTCCTGCTCTGGCAGCAGCAGCTCCTCGCCCGGCAGCACCACTTGATCTAGCACCGTCCGCGCTGCCCGCGCCCTGCAGCCAGCCAGCGACTCCGCTGGAACACTCGCTGCTTCGGCCATCACGGCCGCTACTATACACAGTTTCCGGCTTCCGGCTCCGCGTCCAATCGCCAGCCCGCTCAAGGCTTTCCGTTTCCGGCAGCACAGGCTTGTGGGACTTGAACCTGTTTCCCAGTCCGATCGCGGGGGGTCGGCGGTTTCCCTCAAGGTGGCTATGATTGTGTCTGTAGCTGGCCGCCCATCCAGCAGTCTTTTCGCAGGTCCGCAGGAGAAACGCGTAGCTTGAGTCAGCCGCGGAGCCTCCTCTCCCGGTATCTGAGATGCACAGTGGGATATGAGACGCCGCCACCTTTCGTTTCGTGGAAACCTTGGGAAGTGAGAAGGCCTTCGGGAGTTGGCTCTCTCTTCTGACTCTGCCCTCAGAGGGACCGCTAATCTTTTACCAGGAAGAGTATTCAGTATTTTTTTTTTGCATAGGAAACTTTTATCTATTCACGTTGTGGAAGACCAGAGAAGAATAGAAATAAGATGAAAAGCATTAGTCTTGCTCCCTGTTTGTCTTTCTACTAGGCTGTCAGCTAGTTCTCACTTTTTTTTCTAGCGCAGGTCCTGGCACGAAATAAATAATACCTGGTGAATGAATGAATGAAAATGAATGTTGACATTTTGGAGTGCGTTTCCCCCCCCCCCCCGAAAATATTTACATATCACATGCATATTTCCGTATAACTGAGCTTCCCCTCCACGGCCTGGGAAAATCAGTAACTGCAGTTGCATCTTTGCTGCTGTTTTCCTTGGAGTATTTAGTTGCCCATGTGAAGAGCAGCTGAATTGCAAATCAATAGGACATCAGGTCTGCCCTTCTGCCTTTCAAGGCTCTCACTTAAAATCACAGTTTCCTCTGTCAACCGGTACCTCCAATTAGCGTTGGTCAGATTATCCAGTAGGAGTCGGAACTCCTGGGGACTTGGGAGGGCGTGGCCCTGACCGATGGCTTTTAGCTGTCCTCTATTTCTACTGCTCATCTCTTTGAGGTATCTGCTTCCAACCTGAGTCTTTAGATTTTTAGGATTTTAGGCCATCTCTAACATCCCTTCACAATTTTATAAGACGCTGGTGAATCAACTAAATACAATGAAGGGAAAGTGAACGTTGCCCAGTCGTATCAGACTGTTTGCACCCCAGTCCATCGAATTCTCCAGGCCAGAATACTGGAGTGGGTAATCTTTCCCGTCTGCAGGCGATCTTCCCGACCCAGGAGTCGAACCCAGGTCTCCTGTATTGCAGGTGGATTCTTTACCAGCTGAGCCACAAGGGAAGCCCCAAATACAATAATAGAGGCCAACTGAAATGTAACTTTGGTTTTGCGACAGATTATTGCAAGAGCTGTTCTTGTTTGGTTACCTTTGCAGAAGGCATGGCGTAGATAGTTTTTGTCTTCTCCCCACTCCAACCCAGTTCCAGAGGGCCTGCATAGAGCAAGTATTCAGTGACCAAGACTGCCTCTATCGCAGCGGGCCCAAGGCCATGCTGTATGGTACTCAATGACCTGAGGTCCCGGCCAGACAGAGGTCAGGAAACGATCCCTGGATTGTCTCTCACGCACTCTCACGTCAAAAGAGGAGCCTCTGTCAGAAACGTGGCCCAAATCTGGCTGAGGAGGTCTAGCAAGGGCACTTCAGGGAGGTGTGTCCGCACGTGGGTGTCAGTCTGGTACAGTGGCAAGCACAGGTCTGGAGAAGAACAGTCACCTGAGACGGGAAGCTCAGGCCTGGAGGGCGGGTCGAAGGCGCCTGGAGGGCGGTGCCCTGCGCGACGCGCCCAGAGGGCGGAGCACGCTCGAGGCATCCTGGTCCGTGTATCGCTTGCCGCAGTGTTGGTGCTCTGCCGTCTCGGCGTCGTGCAGCCGGCGGCGAGTAAGCGCACGCGGCCGTGGCAGTGGTCGGCGCGGCGGGCAGGCCCAGGGGTGCTGAGGTCCACCTGCGTGAGAGGGTGGAAGCCGAGACTGCAACCAAGAGTGTGGAGCCCGGCTCAGAGCCGCGGACCCGGACTAAGGCGGTGCGGCTGGGGTGTGGGGGCTCGTTGAGAAGTTCGCTTTTAGAATGGCGTATGCAGCCTTTTTTGGATGTGAAAGTGGCCGCTCCGATTGGGGAGTGAAGAGGAGGCCGGGGCCCCTGCGGTCGACGGCGCGCCTTTCAGCGTTGAGGCCGCACGTGGCTTTGCGCTGGTGCGTGGGGTCTTCCGGGCGTGTCCACCAGGGTGGATTAGGCCCGCTGCCTGTTTGGGGGACTTGCGGGCCTGGAGCCTGTGCAGCAGGCTGGTACCTCCCTCGACTGCCTCTGGGACATACCGCCTCATTTCTTAGCGTTTCCCTCGAGAGAATAACCGAATTGCCCTTCGGAAAGGTTGGTCGAGACCTCGGCCTTCTGGACTTTGCTACTTGAGAAGCTGGAAAAGTGCTATCTCATGGTTGCTTTTCTTTGTTGACTGGTGAAGTTGGGCGTTTTTGTAACTTTCAGTCAAGACTAGTTGAGCTTTTGCCCTGGACCAGGAATTGAGCTGGGCAATGAGCCCGGAAGCCAGCTGAATCTCGCCCTGCCCAGGGCGAGATGACTGGTCTCCACTTGGAAATACCAAGTGTAACTGACTATAACAACCTGATTAGGGTGTCAGCCCCGAGAGTACAAAAGATGAAATGATTACCTCTATGTGGGAGGAAGGTAGGAGTCAATAGATGTCCATAAAGAAGTAGAATTTAAAAGAATCTTTAAAAATTTTTAGTTCACAGGTTTCTAAAAATTACAAATGAACTGCATGCTAATTTATATACAGAAATTAATAGGAAAAGAATCCATGGAAGTGTTAACATTTTTATTCAAGTAAAGAATTTAAACGAAATGCTCACAATTATCACTACACAAGTGAGAATCTATTTGGTAAAACATTTTTAATCACAAATGATTATGGCTTGTGAAAACTAAAGAGAGCTTTAAAGGGTTTAAGAATAGCAGATGTAAGGAACAGCCATTACTCGTAGTACTTAGCTTACCTAAGCAAAAATCTCTCCACTGGCCTGGCCTGATTGAGACCTTGTTGTAGAGGACATTGTCATGGCTTGTTAAATGGCAGGAAGTCATTAGAAATCTGTGCCAGGCTTCCCTGATGGTCCAGTGATTAAGAATCCGTCTTGCAATGCAAGGGACACCTAGTGTAATCCCTCCCTGATGGTCCAGTGATTAAGAATCCGTCTTGCAATGCAAGGGACACCTAGTGTAATCCCTGGTCCTGGAAGGTCCCACATGCTGTGGAGCAGCTAAGCCCATGTACCCCAACTGCTAAGCCAGTGCTCTTAGAGCCCCATGAGCTGCAACTATGAAGCCCACATACCTAGAGCCTGTGCGCCACAAGAGAAGCCACCACAATGAGAAGCCTGAACTCTCCACAACTAGAGAAAGCTCACATGCAGCAAGGAAGACCCACCACAGCCAATAAATAAATAAAGAAATCTGTGCCAGTGGAACTCACTGGAAATCAACCCTTCAGAACTTGCTGGCATTTCTAGGATGCGAGGGAAAGCTCTTCCTGGGGACGTGTCTCTTGGAAGCATCTGTTATAAAACTGCCTAATGCATGCTAGGGGAAACTGCTGGCTGCTGGGTGATTCTGCCCACCAATCAACACAGGAGCTGAAGCTGGAGAAGCTGAGGTACTGCAGGAATAGGCCAGAGAGACAGTGGAGCCACCAGCCAAGTCTCATTCCTTCTGCAGCGCTTCTGCAGGGCATTCTGCCTACAAAGCGTGTCGTCGTGATAGATAGCAAAGGAAAAATGTTTTAAAGGCCCAGATCCATTTTCTCAGAGCAGGCAGTGAAGGGGGAGTTTAGAGCTCAGTGGCAATGCATTGATAACTGGCCTGGAGTCTCACGAGAGGTTGTGAGGTGAACAAATTCATCAGTAATAGCAGTAAGATAGAGTCTGCCTGGGCCCAGATGGCTTCACTGATGAGTTCTGCCAAATATTTAAAGAATTAATAGCCATTAATACAAACTCTACCCCAAAAATAGAAGAGGAGGGAACATAGCCTAATTCATTCTATGAAGCCAATATTACCCTAATATCGGAACGAAAGATACCACAAGAAAAGAAAATCATAGATCAGTATTCCTTATGAATATAAACACAAAAGTCCTCAACAAAATACTAGCAAACTGAATACAGTAACATATAAAAAGGGTTACATACCATGACCAAATGGTATTTATCCCAGGAATCCTGGTCTTTTAACATCTGAAATCAATCAATATAATATACCATATCAATAAAATAAAATCCACATTATCATTTCAGTAGATGGATGAAAAGCATGTGGAAAAGTCCAACATCCTGTTATGATTAAAAAAAAACAATAAACTGAAATTAGAAAGGAACCACCTAAACCTAATAAAGAACATTTATAGAAAAACCCACAGCAAACATCATAATTAATGGTGAAAGAATGAAAGCTTTCTCCCTAGGGTCAAGAACAAGACAAGGAAGTCTGCTCTCTTCACTTCTATTCAACTTTGTATTCAAGATTCTATCCTGGGCAGTTTGGCAAGAAAAATGAAAGGTATCTAGATTGGAAAGAAAGAAGTAAAACTTGCAGGTGCTATGATCTGGTATATATAAAATTCTAAGGAATCTCTTTTACAATAGCAAAGAGAATTAAACATTTGGGAATACATTTAACAAAAGAAACCACCTTAAAACCTTGGGAACTACAAAACACTGTTGAAAGAACTTAACGATCTAAATTGGAAAGATACCCTCATGTTCATGGATCAGAAGAGCTAGTGATAAACAGATTTAAAGCAGTCCCTGTCAAAATCTCTACTGTCTTCATTGCAAAATTTGATAAATGGATCCTAAAACTCATATAGAAATGTAAGGGACCTAGAGAAGCACCGCACCCCCACCACCACCAAAAAAAAAAAAAAAAAAAACCTGAAAAAGAATGAAGTTGGAGGAATTAGACTTCTGCTTTCAAGATTTACTACAAAGCTTACAGTAATTAAAGATAGCCAGAGGCATAAGCATAGATGTAGACAAGTAGAATACAATTGAGAATACAGAAGTAAACCCTCACAATTGTGGTCAATTGGTTTTTGACAAGGGTGCCAAGACAATTCACTGGGGGAAAAAAATCTTCCAGTACTATTGTCCCAAGTAGTGTTGGGACAACTGGATATCTACATGCAAAAGAAAGATACTGCATCTGTCTCTGTTGAAACTACCAAATTTATACACACCCCTTGGATGCAGAAGCTGGTATATCAAAGTCATCGCATGAAGGAGTTTCTATACCTGTGAAGGAGTTTTATACCAGAAAAAGCCCCATTGCCTTACTCTTGTCAGATAATTCTCTAGCTTTATTAATACTTTATGTCACATATCCCTGCAAGAACTACTTAGTTTACTTTTGCTCTAGGCTAAAAACAATATATTTGAGGAAAAACATGGTTCCCACCCTTGAAAATGTGTGTCTCACTTCTAATTTTCCTTTAAATAATGTAGGTGACGAGTTCTAAAAGTCTACAAGGTTTTCAAAGGAAAAAAACAGTGGTGGTTGCCAGGGGTAGGGGGAAGGGGAGTTAAAGAGTTTCAGTATGGGAAGATGAGAAAAGTTCCTCTAGTCCCTATCTCAAGAGGCAACCACCTCTTCTCCTGTACACTTAGGTCAGACTCTAGGCATTACTTAGTTATCAGAGTCTTGAAAAAACTATGGCAAAAACAAAACAAAACTAAGGCAGGGTACAGAAGTTTGCTCTTATTAAATTCTGGCAAAACCTTTTTCAAATCTCACTCTAAAACTAAACATGACATTTTATACCCCCCGTACATGTAGAATTTTAAAACTGCTATACGGGCTATAAATTTCATGCACTTCAAATATACAATTAAGTTAGTTTTAGTAAATGTGTCAGTACTGCAGCCATTACCAAAATCCAGTTTTAGATCACCTCAGTCACCCTAAAAAGATCCCTCATGTACATTTGTGATCAATATCTTTCCTACCCCAGCCCCACACAGCCACTAACCTACTTTCTGTCTCTCTAGCCTTTTCTGGACACTTTACATAGATGGAATCATACAACATGTAGTTTCTTTGTGTCTGGGTTTTTTTTTTTGCTTAGCATGATGTTATTTAGGTTCATCTATGTTTGTAGATCACTTCATGGGAAATAGACGGGGAAACAGTGGAAACTGTCAGACTTTATTTTTTTGGGCTCCAAAATCACTGCAGATGGTGACTGCAGCCATGAAATTAAGATGCTTAATCCTTGGAAGGAAAGTTATGACCAACCTAGATAGCATATTTAAAAGCAGAGACATTACTTTGCCAACAAAGGTCCATCTAGTCAAGGCTATGATTTTTCCAGTGGTCATGTATGGATGTGAGAGTTCGACTGTGAAGAAAGCTGAGCACCGAACAATTGATGCTGTTGAACTGTGGTGTTGGAGAAGACTCTTGCGAGTCCCTTGGACTGCAAGGAGATCAGTCCTGGGTGTTCATTGCAAGGACTGATGCTGAAGCTGAAACTCCAATACTTTGGTCACCTGATGCGGAGAGCTGACTCATTTGAAAAGACCCTGATGCTGGGAAGGATTGGGGGCAGGAGGAGAAGGGGATGACAGAGGATGAAATGGCTGGATGGCATCACCGACTCGATGGACATGAGTTTGAGTAAACTCCAGGAGTTTGTGATGGACAGGGAGGCCTGGCGTGCTGCAATTCATGGGGTCACAAAGAGTCAGACACGACTGAGCGACTGAACTGAACTGATGTTTGTAGAATGTATTAGTAGTTCATTGCTTTTTATTTCTGAATAGTATTCTACTGGTTTTGTCAAAAAGTTTGTTCAGGTTTTTCTGTAATATCTTATGGAAAAATCCAAATAAACTTTTGCCAACCCAGTATTTCATGGATACACTATGTTTTGTTTATCCATTTACAGGTTGAAGGCCATTGGGGTTGTTTTCACTTTTTGACTGTTATGAATAATACTGTTAGCATTTGCATACAAGCCTTTGTGGATGTATGAGTTCATTTCTCTAGGATCGAGTACTTAAAATAGGAATTGCTGGGCTTGTGATAAATTTATATTTAACTTTTTAAGAAACTGCCAAACTTTTCTAATGATGCTGTAGCATTTTACATTTCTCCCACCAGTATATAAAAGTCCTAGTTTCTCCACATCCTCATTAATATTGGTTATTGTCTTTTTGATTATATTAATTCACTGTGGTTTTATTTTTAATTTCCCAAATAAGTAATAATATTGAGCATCTTTTCATGTACTAAATGACCATTTGTATGACTAATCTGGTGAAATGTCTATTTACATCTTTTACCCACTATTAAAATATGTTATTTGCTGTCTTATTGAATTATAAAATATTTAAAAATATATTCTGGGTACAAATCCCTTATCAGGTACATGATTTGCAAATATTTTTTAATGGTCTGTGGATTATCTATTCATCTTTGTAATGGTGTCTTTTGAAGCATGTTTTAAATTTTGATGATGTCCAGTGTACCGATTTTTTTCTTTTTGGATTGTGCTGTACTGGTTCCAAATCAGGAAAGGAGTACGTCAAGGCTGTATATTGTCACCCTGCTTATTTAACTTATATGCAGAGTACATCATGTGAAATGGCCGGGCTGGTTGAAGCACAAGCTGGAACCAAGATTGCCGGGAGAAATATCAATAACCTCAGATATGCAGATGACACCACCCTTATGGCAGAAAGCAAAGAAGAACTAAAGAACCTCTTTATGAAAGTGAAAGAGGAGAGTGAAAAAATTGGCTTAAAACTCAACATTCAGAAAATTAAGATCATGGCATCTGGTCCCATCACTTCATGGCAAATAGATGGGGAAACAATGGAAACAGTGAGAGACTTTATTTTTGGGGGCTCAAAAATCACTGCAGATGGTGACTGCAGCCATGAAATTAAAAGATGCTAGCTCCTTGGAAGAAAAGCTATGACCAACCTAGACAGCATATTAAAAAGCAGAGACATTACTTTACCAACAAAGGTCTGTCTAGTCAAAGCTATGGTTTTTCCAGTAGTCACGTATGGATGTGACAGTTGGACTATAAAGAAAGCTGAGTGCTGAAGAATTGATGGTTTTAAACTGTGTGTTGGAAAAGACTCTTGAGAGTCCCTTGGACTGCAAGGAGATCAAGTCAGTCCATCCTAAAGGAAATCAGTCCTAAATATTCATTTGAAGGACTGATGCTGAAGCTGAAACTCCAATACTTTGGCTACCTGATGCAAAGAACCAACTCACTGGAAAAGACCCTGATGCTGGGAGGGATTGGGGGCAGGAGGAGAAGGGGACAACAGAGGATGAAATGGTTGGATGGCATCATTGACTCATGGACATGAGTTTGAGTAAGCTGTGGGAGTAGGCAATGGACAGGGAGGCCTGGCGTTCTGCTGTCCATGGGGTTGCAAAGAGTCAGACATGACTGAGTGACTGAACTGAACTGAACTGAACTATAACCACTGGTAGTGGAACCCTGATGCTGGGAGGGATTGGGGGCAGGAGGAGAAGGGGATGACAGAGGATGAGATGGCCGGATGGCATCACTGACTCGATGGACATGAGTTTGAGTAAACTCCGGGAGTTTGTGATGGACAGGGAGGCCTGGCGTGCTGCGATTCATGGGGTCGCAAAGAGTCGGACACGACTGAGTGACTGAACTGAACTGAACTGAACTATAACCACTGGTAGTGGAACCCTGATGCTGGGAAAGATTGAAGGCAAAAGGAGAAGGCTGTGGCAGAGGATGAGATGGTTAGCATCGCCAACTCAATGGATGTGAATTTGAGCAAACCCTAGGAGATAGTGGAGGATGGGGAGCCTGGCGTGCTGTAGTCCATGGAGTCACAAAGTCAGAAACAACTTAGCGACTGACCAACAACAACAAAATGGAACCCAGTGTCTATATTTTAGAATCATGAAGTATCTAATATTTTTACAAAATTAAAAGAAGTTTTAACCTGTAGTTCACCAATAACAGCTGTCATTTTATACTCACCTAATAATCAAGTACTGTGCCTGTGTACATAACCTGAGACGGTTTCATCAATTGGCTTTTTACATTAGCAGATATAAGCTAACATTTTACAGACTTTTAAAAAATATTTTTAAAATGTATTTGTCCCACAGGTTTTTAAAAAATAATTATCATTTTAAATTTGCTTTGTTATGGAAGATTCCAAACATAAAAGTTGGCAGACAACTATAGTGAACTTGCATGTAGCCAAAATAGAGCCCCAGTGGCCACCAGTCCTGCCACATCTGTGCTCATGGGAAAAACAGTTGAGTCAACATTTAATAATCAGGCAGTTTTACTTGAAAATTTTGATGAGCTAATCCAGAACACCCAGTATGAGTTCAAAGATTGGAAAGAATAATATCACCTTTAGGTTGTTTTTATTTCAGTGTAGTATCAAACTGGCAAACAAGCAGGGCAGAGTCAAGGACATAGCTGGCCCCCCCCACTTCCACAGAGATGTGTCCACAGTTCAGAGGTGGCTGTCCCAGGTGAAAAGTCCAGCACTTGGGGCTTAGTACCCTGTGAAACTGGACGATGGAGGTGGCTGTGTTTTCTGATTTTACCCACAATCACAGGAGGTGCTTCCTTGCTGTGCTAGGTACGTAGTCCTCTGTCCTATTTCTTGCTGCATCATCAAGCAGACAGCAGGCCTCATTTTGAATTTCAATTTCCAGCTTCTCTTGAAAAAGATGTGACAGTACTGATCTTGAACTCATTCATGGTAGCTGAGGTCCAGTGTGCCCCAGTGGAGGCATGTGCAGTGATGACATTTCATTTAAAGTTCAGAGGACAATACCTACAGAGCTCCTACCAACAAGCCTGGTGAAGTACTAGTGGAAGTTGTTCTTTTTAAATAGTGTTCTGGTCATCCAAGGTTCAGAATGAAAATTTTGAAACTGTTTAGGGGAATAGGAGGACAAGGCCTGACATTTATAGGTTAGTTTGGATTTAGGGATTAAAAAAAAAGTAGTAGTTGTCCTTGTCGATGAGCTTGTATATACAACACAACACAAAGATTATGAGCGAGGACTTGGGAGGTAGACTGCCTGGGTTTGCATCCTGCCCTGTGACTTGTAGACTCTTGTGACTTATCTTTCCTGTGCCTATTTTGAGATGACACAGAGAAGGAGAAATGTTTTTTCATTTCTAAAATGAGAACAAGAACAGTACCAACATATCTTGAGTTAATATATAGATAAAGCAGCCAGGATAATATTAGGCATGTATTAAGCATTTTATGAGTCTTTGCTTTTTGTTTATTTTTAAAATAAGCTTATGTGATAGGAGCTCTTTACTTCCAATGCCATTGTTTTTTTGGGGTTAGAGAAGGTCCATCGACTGAGAAGACATGTTTGCTCTCTTCTTGTCGTTCTGATTCTTCTTAGTGATGCATGGGTCCTGTCCCAAGTGTTATAAAAGTGAGCATCGTGTCACCTGTGAACTGAGACCGAGAGGTCATCTTGGTGCCTCAGAGGGCCTCTGCAACCAGACCCTGGGAACTGTGTCACGAACAAGTCTCAGTCACTCAGTCCTGCTTCTTGTCTGTCTGCACCTCCTCCTACCACCAGTGTTCTTCCTGACCCTCCGTCCTGAGCTTTTCTCCCTCTCTGCCATTTACTCCTGATTTCTCTCTTGCTCCTTTGGTGCACACCTGACCAGCATGACCCCAGTGGCCTGGCTTTACCTCATGACTTTTCAGCTCCAGCTCCCATTGGCCCCTAGCTCACTTCTGATTTCCCAGTTCAGATCCCAGAGAGTATGAATCTATGTGGGCAGAGCTTTTTGGCCTAGCAGCCTGATGGATCAGTGAGTCTGTGGCCCGGATACTCAGATACTTGCCCCACCCTAGCTAATGGGTAGGGAAAACTAAGGTAGAAAAGCTACAGAGTTTCACAGCCTAGGCCTTCCCCTTTAGTAGGATGTATATGCTGGTACATAGGTGAGGTGTCAGATGTAAAAGGCAGGTAGGTAGGCTGCTACATACAGTAGATAGAACCCATCAGGGGTCCCCAGAGGATGTGAAGTTGCTAAGTCGCTTCAGTTGTGTCTGACTCTGTGCGACCCCATTGGACTATAGCCTGCCAGGCTCCTCTGTCTATGGGATTCTCCAGGCAAGAATACTGGAGTGGGTTGCCATTTCCTTCTCCAGGGGACCTTCCTGACCCAGGGATCAAACCTTAAGTCTCCTGTATTGGCAGGTGGGTTCTGTGAAGGGAGCTGTCCAAATCTTTTCTGTGGGTCTCATATTGAATATGTAAGCAAATGTCAATTGATAGATCCATAATGTACCCAATATACTTTATTATTTTTTTTTGACTTTTTAAAGAAATATTTATTTATTTAGGCTGTTTCTGGTCTTAGTTGTGGCATATGGGATCTTTTTTTTTTTTTTAATTTTTTTCATTTATTTTTATTAGTTGAAGGCTAATTACTTTACATCATTGCAGTGGTTTTTGTCATACATTGAAATGAATTAGCCATGGATTTACATGTATTCCCCATCCCGGTCCCCCCTCCCACCTCCCTCTCCACCCGATCCCTCTGGGTCTTCCCAGTGCACCAGGCCCGAGCACTTGTCTCATGCACCCAACCTGGGCTGGTGATCTGTTTCACCCTAGATAATATACATGTTTCGATGCTGTTCTCTTGAAACATCCCACCCTCGCCTTCTCCCAGAGTCCACAAGTCTGTTCTATACATCGGAGTCTCTTTTTCTGTTTTGCATATAGGGTTATCGTTACCATCTTTCTAAATTCCATATATATGTGTTAGTTTACTGTAATGGTCTTTATCTTTCTGGCTTACTTCGCTCTGTATAATGGGCTCCAGTTTCATCCATCTCATTAGAACTGATTCAAATGAATTCTTTTTAATGGCTGAGTAATATTCCGTGGTGTATATGTACCACAGCTTCCTCATCCATTCGTCTGCTGATGGGCATCTAGGTTGCTTCCATGTCCTGGCTATTATAAACAGTGCTGCGATGAACATTGGGGTGCATGTGTCTCTTTCAGATCTGGTTTCCTTGGTGTGTATGCCCAGAAGTGGGATTGCTGGGTCATATGGCAGTTCTATTTCCAGCTTTTTAAGAAATCTCCACACTGTTTTCCATAGTGGCTGCATAATGTACCCAATATACTTTAATCACACCTTTATTTTAAACCTGTAACACTATTTAATATACAGTATTTACTAAGTGCAAAGCTCTGTTTTAAGAGCTTTGTGTGTATTAACTCATTAAATCCTCATAACAGCTCTATGAGTTGGTTTTATAATTCATACTTTATAGATGAAGAAATGGAGGGACAGAAGTAGCGTGCCTCTGATCACATAGCACATAAGTAGCAGAGTCAGGATTTGGACCCAGGCAGTTGGGCTTCAGACAGTCCTATATTATACTGTCTTTCACATTTGGATTCTGACCAGACTGAGTTTTCTAGGAAAGCATAATCTTGTTTTCTTGCATCCATTTTAGAACCTTGTATGGTAAAATGTATGAACAGGCTACCCATTACAAAAGACCTAAATAGACATTTCTCCAAAGAAGACATACAGATGGTCAACAGGCACATGAGAAGATGCTCAAAATCTCTAATTATTAGAGAAATGCAAATTAAAACTCTAGTGAGGTACCACCTCACACCAGTCAGAATGGCTCTCATTAAAAAGTCTACAAATATGGAGAAGGAAATGGCAACCCACTCCAGTATTCTTGCCTAGAAATCCCATGGACAGAGTAGCCTGGTGGGCTACAGTCTGTGGGGTCTCAAAAGAATCGGGCATGACTTAGCAAGTAAACAATAATGTTACTCACTAGAATATGTATTTTGATACAATCCCTCCCAAATAAGAGCTGTTTAAAGTATAAGAACATCTTTGGCTACATCTTCCCCCACTCCTCCAAAATAAAAAAAATCAAGAGCAAGTCTAATGTTATCTGTTTGATGATGCCCAGTGTTAACTAGAGAAGTGTCACATTACAAATGACTTGTCATTTTACTTTTGACAGAAAAAAATAAAATTAAATTAAAAAAAAATAAAAAGTCTACAAATAGAGAGGATGTGGAGAAAAGGGAACCCTCCTACACTGTTGGTGGGAATGTAAGTTGGTGCAGCCGCTGTGGAAAATAGTATGGAGATTCCTTAGAAAACTAAATATAGAATTACCATATGATTGAGCAATCCCACTCCTGGGCATATATCCAGATAAAACTGTAATTCAAAAAAATACATGCATCCTTATGTTTATAGTAGCACTATTCACAGTAGCCAAGATGTGGGAAGGTCCACTGAGAGGTGAATGGATAAAGAAGATGTGGTACATATATACAGTGGAATACTACTTGGTCGTTAAAAAAGAATAAAATAATGCCATTTGCAGCAACTAGAGATTATCATTCTAAGTGAAGTAAGTCAGAAAGAGAAGCCAAATACAATATGATATCACTTATAGGGGAATCTAAAATATGACACAAATGAACCCATCTGGAAACAGAATCATGGACACAGAGAACAGACTGGTGGTTGCCATAGGGAAGGGGATTGAGGGAGGGATGCAGTGGGAAGCTGCAGTTAGTAGATACAGACTTTTATATATAGAAAGGATAAACAAGGCCCTACTGTATAGTACAGAGAACTATATTCAGTATCTTATGATAAACCATAATGGAAAAGAACATTAAAAATAGAGTATGTATATATATGTATGTGTGTGTATGTATGTATACATGTATGTATGTATGTATGTATACATGTCTGTATGTATAACTGAATCACTTTGCTGTTCAGCTGTAATTATCCTGACATTGTAAATCAATTATAATTTTTTAATGTAAAAAAAAATGAGGTTGCCCTTTTAGATTTATGTTGGTTTTTTGCAGTTTTCATTTAGAATAAATGTAAAGTTGTTAGTTTTCTATATTTTTTATTTAGATTGTTTTTTAAGAGACAGGATTGTAAAGTGGGAATATTGAAGACTTTGGAGTCAGATAGACCTGAATTTTATCTCTGTGTGACCTAATCCATCTGATCCTTAGATTTCATATCTGTAAAGTACAGGATTGCTGGGAGTTTTGGGGAGTGTGTGCAGAAGACCTGACACATACTAGGTGCTCATTATATGACAGTTAAATTATCATTGCTATTGACAGCAGATGATATATATAAATCCTGGCCATCATTTGGTAGCCTTAAGAGGCTTCAGAGAAATCTTCATGGCGTTGAAGAACCCCAGGAGGTTTTATTGTTCTTAGGTGGTATTTGAGCTGGGCTTTAAGGCAAGCATTGTATATGTTATTTGGACCATCATGCCCTCAATATCCTCTTCTCATGTCCGACATTATCAATGTATTACAGCATTATTTCTTGTTGAGCTCAGAGTCCTTTTCATAATTGCTCAAGAATTGCTTGTAATTAATGGGAATTGACCCAGGAGGCACTGTCTTTTCTTTAAGTCCAGATACACAAACAAGCTATCCAAGCCATGCCTTTGGTGGCCCACTCCAATCCTGCCTTTGCTTCCTTTCAGTCTCGTCTTCGCCTTGTGACCAACAGGTTTTGGAAAAAGTTGCCTCTGGTGACCCTGAACTTGCGCCTTTATGAGTCTCAGCAGCAGGAAGAGAAGTCCGAACCCATTAGCCGTTATCCCGTTCCCTACGAAAAGGACCTGCCTTTTGACGTCTGAGAGCTCTTGGAGGAGATAGAAAAGAAGGTGAGACGCTCACCTCGTGCAGAGAGCCATAGCCAGAGCAGACCTTTGCTGGCTGGAGGGTAACCCCGGGGCTGGTTGCTGCGGTCCGCCCAGGACCCCACTGGGGGCGAGCCCTTCCTTCGGGGTTCCCAGGCAGAAGAACACGCACTTTTTCCTCTCGTCTTAGGCACAGCCTTTTAAGTCTGGGAGTCTGTCGCTCAGTTCTCTGCCCACTGTGCCTGAGGTGTGTTCCGTAGTTCCCTTTAGTGCTGAAATATGGTGTGGAGATAGAGCCGTGAGATATGTGCCAGATGCTTCAATAAATGTGAGTGGTACCTTGTTCCTTCCTGCAATTATGTACTGAAAAATTAGAAAAATAAGCAAAAATTTCAAAAATAAAAATTTCACCAAAGTCAGCCACTCGTAGCACTTCTCCTTCCCTATTTTTTAAAAATATACATGTAATTTTTTTAATGAGATCATGTTAACATGAACATTTTTCTACGTTAAAACATCATGTTTAATGGCTGCATGATATAGCACTGTATAATAGAGATGTTTTAATTTATTTCAGCAATCTCCCAATCTTGCATATTTGTGACTTGTAACAGGTGTTTATACAGGTATCTTTTTGAACATCCCAGAATTATTTCTTGGGGATACTTTTTATTTATTTATTTAAAATGTTTTATTTATTTGTTTTTGGCTGTGCTGGGTTTTGTGTTGCTGCATGCAGACTTTCTCCAGTTGGGCTAAGTATGCAGGCTTCTCATTGCAGCGGCTTCTCTTGTGGAACAGGGGCTCTAGTGTACAGGCTTCAGTAGTTGTAGTACACAGGCTTAGTTGCCCTGAGGCCTGTGGGTTCTTTCATGACCAGAGATCAAACCTGTGTCCCCTGCATTGGCAGACAGATTCTTAACCACTGGACCACCAGGGAAGTCCAAGGGTACTCTTTAAAGTTGATGCTTTATATTGTCAAATTATAAAACCCTTGTCTGAATGCAGATGTTTACTCTATAAACTTTTGGTTTTGAAACTTGGTACTGAAACTTTGTGGATTTTTTTTCCAGACAGAATCTCGTATGTAAATCCATTTATATATATATATATATATATATATATAAACCCAGCTGCTCTGGTGGGAAAGGTTTGGAGCCCCCAGCCTCTCTCTCAGTACCTGTCTGTACCTCCTCACATCATCACCTCTTCCCCAGCTCCTGCCCCGGCAGACATAAATGGTTCTTTTTACCATGTCTTCTAGATCAGTAATGAACTTTAGCATCTATTATCAGTTAGAGTGCTTTCAGCTACAGGTAACAAAAGGCCCAGTTCAGCTGATACAACAGCAAGGACAGTTCAGTGTCTTGTATACCAGTAGCTCCAGACACAGCGTGATTCCTGCATTGTTAATCCAGTGGCTCAGCGATATCAAGGATCAAGTCCTTTGCCTTTTTTAGCTCTGGCTTCCTTGATATGATAACTCTGTGCTCAGACTTGTGATCTCCTGGTCCCTGGGTATAACAGCAGCAAACATTACATCCTTGCACAGCTCCTAGAATGGATGTGAAGGTCACACCCTTTTCTCATTTGGGAAGAGAAGGCGCCCGCTGATTTCCCTTCATTTCTCATTGGGCATAATGGTGTCACATGCCCATTCCTAAGCCAATCACTGACAAATAGAATAGAATCACTATAATTGGTTTAGATCAATCAGGATTCATCCAGTGGGGTTGGGGAAGGGTTTAACCTTCCCTGGAGCCCACGGCAATCTGATATCTGAACTACATCCAGCATCCACTGTCAAGGGAAGAGGGAAGAAATGGCCCCTGGGTAGCAGTCAATAGTTGTCTGCCATAGCATCCCATTGGCAAACGTACTGAGGGACTTCCCTGGTGGTCCAGTGGCTGAGACTGCACTCCCAGCGCACGGGGCCTGGGTTCCAGCCCTGGTCAGGGAGCTAGATCCCATATGCTACAACTAAGAGTTCACATGCCACAACTAAAGATCCTGCGTGCTGCATCTAAGCCATTGAGCCACAGCCAAGATCAGAGATTCCACGTGCCACAAAGACCCAGAGCAACCAACCAAATAAGTAAATAAATATCTTTTTTAAAAAAGAAAAGAAAACAGACTGAAAACCCAATGTCAAAATCGCAGACCTGCTTTTAGATTTGTTTTGGCCTTGCGCAAGTCACTCAACCTCTCTGGGCCTTAGTTTCCTTATCTGTAAACTGGGATAATGATCCTTGCCTTACCTACCTTAGAGAGTTGTGGAGAAGAAAAAGTGAGATTGGATGTATGAAAGAACTTTACAGAGTACTTCTAATATCAAGTCTTGTTACTGATTTAATTCTTAGAAATAAATGAGCACCACCACCCCCTCTGTGAGCAGGAGGGTAATAAGTATAGCCTATATTCTAAGAAGTATCATTTAGTTTACATACAACTCTCAAAATTTTATAAAATACCTTACTAAAAAGAAATTACATATGCCTTTAGAAGTAACCCTTACAATCCCCTAAAACGTGAAAGAATGTGTGGGTTGTGCTTTGACACAAGGCTGTGGTCTTCTTAAGACTGCATCTGGCATTCAACAGACAGTATGGGATCTACCAGTTACTATTTGCCAATCCTGTTCTTAGTTGTCATTTTACATTTCCCTGTTTCTCTCCTTCCCTGCAGACAGGATTTTTACCAAATGTATTTAAAGTGTTGTCTCACTGGCCACTGGAATTCAAAGCCTTCTTTGTTTATTACAATATCATCTGTAACAAGAAAACAGGCAAGTGGGGGGCTGGGGGAAGTGCTAAGTCATCTTTAGATAAGATCCAGGTGCCTGCTTGCTAGAGTTCATTCCCACATAGTCCCAGATTACTGTGGAGCTAGGGAGAAGCTCAGAAGGACTGGAGCTGGCAGAGACATTGTCTGGATTCTGACACTGAGGTCTGAATGTTACCTGATGGTTATAGGTAT